CACTCTCGCTGTGTCTCTCTCTGTCAAATAAATAAATGAAGTCTTTAAAATAAATAAATAAATAAATGAACGAACGTGAGGGAAGAAGGGCCAAGAACAAATGGGCACGTGATGAAGACACAGTCAGGAAAGCCATTGCTTATAACCCTTCCAGGGCTTCCTGGGTGGTGTCCAAAGCCTGCAGAGCACACAGGGTTCACAGCCCTGTCACCTGCAGGCATGCGGGGGAGGGCAGGGATGCGCTGGGAAGAAGGTGCCAGGGAGAGGGTCTGCGCAGCCACCAGCGCAAGGACGCCATCCTGAGCACCCCAGAGGGAGCCCCGCCGCGGGCAGGGGCTGTGCTGGCCCCGACCTGGGACACAATGCCCCAAAGGAGTGGGTCCTCAGGAGGACAGGCTGTGGGAGTGTCACTGGCCTCTCCAGAGACTGTGCGCATCTCCCAGCTCACCGCAGCCAGAGAGAAGGCAGGAGGGCAGCCACTTACGTCCAGCTTCATCAGGGTGAGCAAGTCCTTCTTGGCGGCCCTGAGAATGGCATCTGTCTTCCTGCTGGAGACCGTCTCATCTGAGTTAGTCTCTGAGTACTGGAAGACTGCAGAGGGAGCGTCTGCAACAATCACGCTCTTCTTGGACTTGAGAAGAGCACAGGCAGATCAGAGGGACGTGGCAGGGGAAAGGCCCCCGCAGGGAGCACTAGGCCAGGGCAGGGCACAGCCTGAGACGGGAGGGAGTGTGCCCACCTACCTTGCTGGCCACGGCGCTCCCAGGGCGTTCCTCTGCATGGAGGAGGACCCTGGCACGGTCACACGCCATCCTCAGGTCTGAGGTGCTCCCTACAGTGGAGGGAAGACGCAGGACGCTGTGCCGACCCGGCTGGACACGCGGGTCCACACACATTCGCTGAGGGCTGGCTGAGCTCTCCCCCCGAAGGCGAAGCAGCACAGACCCTGGCAGGTGAGACTCGGATCACTGGAGCACGGCCACTGCCCTGTCATGCATGCCCTCTTGTGACCCACAACCGATTTTTATTTTATTTCTTAAATTAATAAAAAAATTGGGGCGCCTGGGTGGCTCAGTTGAGCGTCCGCCTTCGGCTCAGGTCATGGTCCCAGGGTCCGGGATCGAGCCCCGCGTCTGGCTCCCTGCTCGGCGGGGAGCCTGCTTCTCCCTCTCCCTCTGCCCCTCCCACTTGTGCTCTCTCTCTTAAATAAATAAATCTTTAAGAAAAAACAGTGTTAAAAATAAAACCGTGCCAGAGTCCCTGTGATTAACCCACGCATACGGCAAAGGTTACACAGTCCTGTGCGATGCTGTTCTTACTGTCAGTTCACCCACATCAGTTGACAAAACTTAAAATGTCGAGTCCCTCTGCTTTTTGCAGACACATGTCTCCTAAGAGGGCATTATCTGCAGGGACCAGAGGGAAGATGACAGTTGCCTGCATATGTTTATGGAACAGGGTGATTCACAGTCACACTTTATTACAGGTGGACTGCTATTACTTTCCCGTCTTTTTTTATTTGAAAAATTTGCTAAACACATTTTTTTTTTTTAAATACAGCAGGTCAGCTGAATAGCCATGTGGAAAAAAAGTGTATCGTGTCCAGTATGCACTTTAGACAAAAGAACCAATCCTAGAGGGATAAATATGAAAGGTAAAATGTTAAATCTTACAGGCAGATTTCCTAAACAGGACACAAAATGCATTAATTACAAAAGAAAAAATTCGATAAATTGGACTCTTAAATTTAAAACTTCTATTCATCAAATGACACCATTAAGAGAGTGAAAAGTAAGAGCAGAAAGTATCTTCAGTACATATATCCCACAAAGGATTCATATAGAGAAGATCTAAAGAACTCCTATTAATCCATGAGGATGAATGACAACTTCTAAGGGGAAAGGAGACAAAAGACCATGCAGCCCACTGCAATGGAGGTGGCAAGTCCTGGGGCTCAGGAGTGGTCAGGAGGACGGGGTGCGGCCACAGTGAGGCCTGCTGGGCCAGAGGAGCCGGGAGAAGAAGACAGGAAGCAGAAAGCAGGCGGGGGCGGCGGGGGCTTCCCGGAAGACGGTGCCGCCTGTCAGCAGCACTAACATACGGGCCAAGAGCGCTAAGTGGGACAGAGGACTGAATCGCTAGGAGCTCAATGCTGACAGCGACATGTGCTGGGGACCCCATATTGAACACGCAGGCTTGGGAGGGCGGTAGAAGTACACATCGGGACGGGCACCCAGAAAACCGTGCGCAGCATCTCCTGAGCCAACAGCGAGCACTCTACGACCCAGCAGTTCCAACAGGAACACGTACGTGGGTTCAAAAGACACATAAATGCACTGTCTTCAGACAGTACATCGCTACCCACCACGGAGAACAGGTGCGTGTTGCTGCAGACAACACGTATGGACCTCAGACACAAAGCCGAGCGGAAGCAGCCAGACTCTACAGCAGCTCACGCTGCTGGAACTCGGAGAGCAGGAGCTCCGGCGGGACGGCTGGCAGAGCCTAACCTCTCTGCTGGTGCGTTTCTGCGTCTGGGCGCTGGCCTCACGGGAGAGCTCGGTTTACGAAAAGTCATCACACTGCCCGTTTACATTTACACCTTCTGTATTCATATTACACAACCAAGAACAGTTAAGGGAAATTGAAAACAACTTGGTGTCCATGAAGAAATAGGCAAATATCCCAGTAGAACACAAAAGATTCCTAAAAAGTAGTCCAAGTAATGAAATATGCAGAACAGGCAAATCCAAGAGACAGAAAGCAGACCAGTGGGGGCCGGGGCCGGGGATGATGGCTAATGGGGACGTGGCGTATCTACTGGCTGGCAAGATGTTCTGGATTAGATGGTAGTGACGGATACACAATTTTGCGAATACACTAATGAATTACGCACTTTAAAAAGGTGAACTTAATGGTATGTGAATCACATCTCCAAAAAGCTATTACTAAAAAAAAAAAGAAAAAAAAAATCCACGTATATTCAGAAACTTGACACCAAATGAAGACAGCACCAAAAAAGGCAACAGGAAAGGAAAGATTGTTTCATGAATGGCACTGTGTAAGTTACCACCACACAAAGTAAAAAAAGGCTGAATGTCTGACTTCGAACACACCCAAGTGGGAAGGGCAAACAAAGGAGCCCTCAGCGCACAAGGGGAACCACTCAGCTCGCAGAAGAGGATCTGGGAGAATACGCTTACGACCCAGTGAATGAGGAAAGACAAGGAGGAAGGCACCAAACACAGATCACAGGGTGTGCAAACGGCTGGTTTTCAATAAAGGAGCATCATGGGTCCTGCTCACGTCATGTGGACATGACAGTCCACAAGGCTGGGTCTTCTGACAGACGGAGACCAGAAAAAGGCGTCTGAACAAATACAACCGATGAAGGGTCTCTAGCCAGAGCATATGAAGAATTGATGCAAATCAACAGATTCAGAAAACCCTGCAGAAAATGAGCAGAGAATATAAGCAGACAATTCTTTTTTTTTAAATTTTAAGTAGGCTCCACCCCACGTGGGGCTCGAACTCACAACCCTAAGATCAAGAGTCACATGCTCTACCGACTGAGCTGGCCAGGTGCCCCTAAACAGACAATTCTTTAAAGGGTTTTTTTTTTTTTTTCAAGATTTTATTTATTTATTTGACAGAGACACAGCGAGAGAGGGAACACAAGCAGGGGGAGTGGGAGAGCGAGAAGCAGCCTCCCCGCCGAGCAGGGAGCCCGATGCGGGGCTCGATCCCAGGACCCCGGGATCACGACCTGAGCCGAGGGCAGACGCTTAACCACTGAGCCACCCAGGCGCCCCGAGAATTCTGCTTTAATGAAAGCAGATCCTGGTAGCAGCTGAGGGGCCAGAGGGCCTAGGAAACCCATTTCAGTGGAGGATGCCACATGGCGGAGTGCCAGTGAGCACAGCCCAGCACAGGGGAGAAAGGGTGGCACTGGAGATGGTCCTGCAGCGGCCAGGTGCAGCCTTGGGGACGCAGGCCCCTGGGACACAGATGCGAGGCAGGGGTAAAACAGAGCAGTGTAGAAAGGAGCCCACGGGATGCTCAGGGCAGCAAGACACGTAATTACCACTGCATCTAAGGGAGCCAGAGTGTGGGCATAGGGTCCTCTGGGCCTGACAGCCTGCCCACCTGTAAATGCTCCAAGCTCAGGTGCCCAATGCCTCACCTGGTGGAGCGAAAGGGGCCTGGTCACCTGCCTGGGCCTTGCCGAACTCATCCAGGATCTCTTCGTGGACAGAAGGCAGCGGGAAGGACTGGCTCCTCTGCAGCAGAGGGCCAGAGGCTGCTGCACGGCTGCCCCCTCGACCTGCTGGGAGGGGACGGGTGGGAAGAGGGCCTCTGTCCCCATGGCGGTGCACAAACCTCATGTCTCCAGGCCCTCAGGCCACAACCTCCGCACCTGCACCCAGCTGCCCAGGGCAATGTTAGGCAGCGCCAACCTCGGACGCGGGCCCTGCTCTGCCTCCCCCAAGTCGTCCTGAACTGACTTGCCCTTGCTGCCAGCCTCCTCCACCAGGCTGAAGCCTTGCGTGTCCCCTTCCCAGTGACTGTTTTAGTCGAGGTGACCATCGAGCACACTTGGCGTGAGCCTGGCACACTTCCGTGCTCCCCTGGCCCCTCAGGTGAATGAACGTAAAAGCCACCTTCCAGGAAGTACCCTGAGCGACACAGCTTCATCTCACTAGTCTATCAGCCACTTGTTTATAAACACACAGGTGATCTATCCCACATTTGTGAGCATGGCTGCGTGTTACACACTCAACCTGAAGGTGACTTGTAGCCAAGAAGCCTCAATGGACGGTTTCTCTCCCCAGATCTAGGACCCTCTCAAGAGCTCAGAGCGGCATGAAGCTTGGAATCTGCTCCCCGAATGGCTTTCCCCTGGAGCCTAGTCCTCCCAGAGACGGGGTGATGGGAGGGGTGGCTGGGGTGGGAAGGAGGCCCGGACTCAGGCGGGAGGCCAGTTTGGGGGCAGTACCTGGGTCGCAGGAGTCCTGGGGCCGCAGGGGCCTCTCAAGACGATCCTCGGAGACGCAGCATGCCTGCCTTCTGACCTTCCCGGCAGCCACACTGGCCACAGACACCAGGGGGATGGCCTGGCTCTCCTGGGATGTGAGAAAGAGCAGGTGCTCCAGGGGCACCCCTGGGCTGGTACTCTCAGCAGCCACACTTGGGAGAACAAGAGGAGTGGTGACCAGCGCAGAGGCCGGCCGTGGGCTTAAGGCAACAAAAGCCCAGCTTGCTTTATCCCGGCAACTCTATCAAGTTTAAATGGTGGTCAACACTGTCAGAAACCTTCTTCATTAAGAGAAAAGTAATGTAGAAAACAAAAGGATGTGCCCTAAAATACCAGTAAAGGAAGATGACAAAACCTAAAACCCATCAGAACTAGGGAGAATCCCCAAGTGCGGTGCTGACCCCAGTAATGAGTGATTAGCATCCAGGCCCCCCTGAAGCAGGGCCCTCGAGGGTCTCATCTACATCTGCTGCTCAGAGCAGCTCTGGGTAGAGCGAGCGGACCCCTCGCCCAGACTGCCAGCAGGAGGGGCCCCAAGGGACAGGAGGGGAGCGCCTCCACTGGGCGGGCAGGCAGCTCAGCGGTGTGCGCCAGGTGAACAACAGGAAAGGGGCAGGCGAGCTTATGGAGCAAGGTGACCGAAGGGGCCACATTCAGGCCAAACTGCAGGCTCTCCTGGAATGGGCATCGGAGGAGTCTCATCCCACATCTCATGGGTGGGACAGGTTCTTAGCACAAGGCCTCAGGAGAATCAAGCTCATCCACCAGCACGGCTTTAAGGCAGAGGAGTAAACAAGGCCGCACAAGCCCCTCTCAAAGCCCAGGGTCCCAGTGACATGGACAAGGGCATGAGGCTGCACTTACCGGGTTGAAGAGCTCTGTGGTCAGGCCCAGGTAGTTGTGCAGAGCCAGAAAGGTGACCCTCTGCAGCCGCACCATGATGATCTGTGGGGGACAGCCAGCTGTGCCAGGCCCGGTGCCCCCTGCAGACCCCCCGAGCCCCGTCACGACACGGAGCCCCCAGTCCTGACAACTCCCCGTGGTCACCTAAGATGTTAGTGTTTAGGGCGTAAGGAAACTGCATTATTTGTGCAAGGTTTTAGTAAATCTAAGATTACTTCAAAACAAGAAATTTAATAACAAAAAAAGAACTCTTTGGGGGGCTAGTGGGAGTTCTGAAGACCTCTTTGAGGTCATGAATATTAACTTTTACTCTAAAATATATATTACAAATCCCTCAGAAAACCACCTTAGTCCTTCCTACACCCACTCAGGACGCACTTTCCTGGGTGTGTGACGCTCAGGACCAACGCAGCAGCCTATGATAAACGCTTGGTGCCCCGGCCCCTGGGCCAGAAAGGGCTCCTGCAAATGGGACCCACCTGCACCACCCTCACCAGGGTTTCAGGATACTTCTCAAAAACTCCTTGAAAAGCCACCGCTGGGAGCCGGAGGACGGTGGAAGGGATAGCAGCGCGGGCAGACACGGTTTTGTACGGAGCGGTGTGGCCCTGCAAGGACAGCAAGGTCAGGCTGCTCCCAGCATCCCCGTCTCCAGAAGCGAAGAGACACCAGCACATGGTTGAGCATGGAAGCGCCCGCCACGGCCCCGCTGCACCTCGCCCCACTCGAGAAGCACCTCCTAGGAGCCCGCAGAGCCTGCTTTTCCAGCCAGGACACCACCCTCTGCTGTCACCGCCCTGTCCGTCCACTGCTGCTTCCAGGCAGCCACCCAGGGTTCGTCTGTCCTGATGGTTTTGCTTCGTCAAAACATTACATAAATGGAATCACACAGGGCCGGCTCCCTTCTCCCTTCACTGAGACGGGAGTTTGAGGCCCGCCATGCTGTTCACGCACCAGCAGTTATGCTCTTGGTGGCTGAGAAGGAGGCTGTTTCATCCGCCCAGCAGTTAAAGGGCACCTGGGCTGTTTCCAGTTTGGGGCAATTGTAAATAAAGCTGTCAAAAATGCTCACGTACAGCTTCTGGGCCATTCAGTATATGCATCTTTAACTTTCAGGAAACTACCACGCTGTTTCCACAGTGGCTGCACCACGTGGCCCACATGCACACCACGTCTGCACTGTCAGGGTTGAATGGTGAGGAACGTGGTCAGTCTTGGCCCCCGGTTCCTGGGGGGAGCCTCTCAACCTGTTAGCAATGTCCGTGTTCACAGGAACAGCCCTGGGAGTCTCAGGATGGGGCTGGCCGCACCGGGAAGTCTGCCCACAGTGGGGGAGCTGGGGTATTCCCGACCTCGTGACCAAGCCCTGTGCGTCGGGAACCTGGACGTGTGGTTCTCGAGACGTTCTAAGTGAGCTCTGGGACTCCGTTACGTTTCTTCCCCTTTCTGCTCATTTCACATCCTTCACAGAAAGAAAACTGTCCCTGGGAGACCACAACGGCACCACATGAAGCAGCAGCACAGAGCAGTCGCCTGCCGGGTGTCAAAGGACAGAAAGTACAGGCCGGCTCCAGGGTTCCCTGCCCCCTCGTGAGGCCAAAGGCGCCAACACGCCCCCTCGTCGCTTCTGCACCACTCGGCCGCTCTGCAGAGAGCGGGCTCCCCTTCTGTGGGTACGAGGTGTGTCCTGGACGTGGCCTCACCCAGCCTCCTACTCACAAGCAAGTCAAGCAGCCAGGAGATCCCAGGAGGGCCAAGGGAGGGCCGGCCCACACACCCCATCAGATGGCAGTTCTCGTCTTTGTCCAAGAATCAGAGAGAAAAGCAGGTGCGTATGTTTGGGGGAAAGGTGGGAAGAGGGAATGACAGAGTAGCCACTGTTGCTAAAGATGGCTCGTGGGCTACTGATTTCCAAATTGACTTGTTTATTTAGAAGAACAACACCCTCAACCTCACCTAAAATCAAAAAACTATGTGAACCACAGAGAGAGGCTGAATTGCTTAGAGTGTGCACAAGACCCAGGTGTAGACCCGCAAGAAAGCTTCACGCTTGCATGCCTTTCCAAACGTTCTCAGCAGCAGAGGCACGACAAAAAAACAACTATAAACAGGCTGAAGGTCAGTCGGCAACCGGATGTATCAACAGCGGTGTGGAGGACTGAACCGGGACACACCGTGCCCATGGGGGCCTGACAGTAAGAACCCGCACAGGCCCAGCTGCGGAGGAAGCACACACGGCAGAAAGCCACCATGCCATGTGCTGCAGAGGGTACAGCTGCCCTCTGAGGAAAGGAGGAGGACACTGGAGGCTGGGTTACAGCTAGCCAGCATGGCGATGGCTATAGGACCCGGGTGACAGCTCACTTGGTCACTTACTATCGTGCATTCCCATATATCTGAAATGTTTCATAACATTTGTAAAAATTAAAGTAATAAGGGAAGGGGGAGTTGGAGTAAGGTGGTCAAAAGGTACAAAGTTCCAGTCAGAGTATCAGGACGGCAAGTACCAGGGGGTGCAACGAGCAACCCGGGGCCCGTCGCTGCCGTAGGGCACACGGGAACGCTGTGAAGGGGGCTCCTAGGAGCTCATCACATCTCATTTAAACCTGTGTCTGAGATGATGGGTGTTAGCTGGACCTGTCATGGCGATCATTTCACAACAGAGGTAAACCAGAACATCCTGCTGCACACCACACACTCACAGTGTCGTGTGCCAGTGATTTCTCAGTAAAATGGAAAAAAACTAAAAGAATCAAAATTCAAAAGAATACGTTGTTAACTTCAGTTGGAAAAAAAAATAATAATAAAGGCGACCTCCCATCAAAGATGGTAGTTTGAAGGTGACTGTGTATCTCCATGGCACGCCCACTAATCTCTGCTCTATTAAAAAGATAAACCTCCAAGAATCAAGACAAAAACTAAGAGCAGACGAGACGTGTAAACAACATTTTGGAAGCTAGTGAAAAGTATGTGACAGAGGGGCAGCTAACAGAGCTATCTGATGAAAGGTGAACCATTCTCTATAAGGGCTACAGAGCCAAGATGGTGAAACCCATCCTCACGGGAGGGCCCGAGCCCCCTCCTCGCCCTGCAGCTGGCCGCTGGTGTCCTGCAGACGGTGAGCAGACAGGTCAGAGCACCAGGACCTTCAGCATAGCCAAGGGCCAGGCACCATCTCACGCCTGGGCTGGAGGACAGTGTCCACTGGATGGGGCAAACCCACACTGCCTCCCCGACTCCAAGCCAATTCCTCTATGGCAGGACATGGGCAGAGTCCTCTCTGAGATTCAGCTTTAGAGAAAAAACCCACAGATGCTGACCTGTGGGTTCCCTGCCAGCCTTCCTGCAGTGAGCCCCAGGGGGACAAACCCCGAGCACACAGGGGCTCACAGGCGGCTTCCAAGTAGCTCATGCTATTTTTCTTTTTACAATTAACCCATATATCCAGCACTGAAAAGAAGGTATAGGACATTTCCAGCAACCCAGATTATGTTATGCCCCCACTGAGCCCAATCAACCTAGTCCTGACAGGTAACAGTAATTAGCCAGAATGGGCAAACCTCAGCCCAAGGGCCAAATCTCACCCACTGCCCTTTTTTGTAAATAAGTCTTTATTGGAACACTGGGACGGCAAAGCTGAGCAGTTACAGCAGGGGCTGTGTGGCCCGCCTGGCCCTCTCGTGTGCTGACCACTGTTCTGCCCTCACAGGTCAGTCTTGCTGCGTGTAGCGCTCTTTCGGTGACTCACTCTGGCTCACGGGGGGGGCCGATGTAGCCGGGTCAATGTGGATGTCACTCCCGCACAAATGGGAGAGACAGAAGCCAGAATAAAAAGAGAAGAGAGACCCAAAAGAGCGAGAGAGGACACAGGGAGCAAAAGAAAACCTTTTGTTAATAAAATGTTATCTAAAAAAAAAAATTTGGTGGGGGGAAAGAGCTCCTAAAATAAAAAACATGGTGACTAAAACCAAAAACACAAGAAACAACAATTGTTGGTGAGGATATGGAGAGTATTAAAAATACAATTACCACATGACTCCAGTAATTCCACTGCTGGGCATTTATCCACAGAATATGAAAACACTAATTAAAAAAATATACATGCAAAATATGTGTGTATATACACACACACACATATATACGTATGTGCACCCCTATGTTTACTGCAGCATCACTCACAACAGCTAAGATACAGAGCAACCCAAGTGCCTGCTGTCTGATGAATGGATGAAGATGAGCCGTGTGTATGCACGTATGTACGTTTAATATACACACATACATGTATACAACAGGGTATTACCCATAAAAAAGGATGAAATCTTGCCATCTGCAATGATGCAATGGATCTAAGAGTATATCTGTTTTTTTTTTTTTGAGAGAGAGAGAGTGCATTCGAGCAGCAGAGGGAAAGGGAGAGAGAGAATCTTAAGCAGGCTCCACACTCAGCACAGAGCCCGATGTGGGGTTTGCTCTCACAACCTGAGATCAGGACCTGAGCCCAAATCAAGAGTGGGGCACTTAGTAGACTGGGCCACCCAGGAGCCCCTAGAGTGTATTATGCTAAGTGAAATAAGTCAGTCAGAGAAAGATAAATACCATGATTTCACTCATATGTGGAATTTTAGAAACAAAACAAACGAGCAAAGGAGAGAGACAGAGAGAGACCAAGAAACAGACTGTTAATTATAAAGAACATACTAATGATAACCAGAGGGGAGGATGGGAGAAATAGGTGATGAGCACCAGGTGATGTACGGAAGTGCTCAATCACTATGTTGTACTCCTGAAACTAATGTAACACTGTGTATAACTATATTAAAAATTTTTTAAAATTTAAAAACAAATAAAATAAAATAAAATACATGGTGACTGAAATTAGAAGTTCAGTGGAAGGTTTGGAAAATGAAGTGGAAGAAATCTCCTAGAAAGTATAACAGAAAGGTAAAGGTAGGGACACATGGGTGGCTCAGTCGGTTAAATATCTGCCTTCGGCTCAGATCATGATCTCAGGGTCCTGGAACTGAGCCCCACATCAGGCTCCCTGCTCAGTGGGGAGTTTGCTTCTCCCTCTGCCTGCCCCACCCCCCC